CTTCTCTTCTCTTCTCTTCTCTTCTCTTCTCTTCTCTTCTCTTCTCTCTCTTCCCTTCCCTTCCCTTCCCTTCCCTTCCCTTCCCTTCCCTTCCCTTCCCTTCCCTTCCATTCCATTCTATTCTATTCTATTATCTATCTATCTATTCAAGGTGAAGTTAGGAGGTTTGTGTGAATCATCCAGGATTTCAGGATTAGGAATATATTGAAGTGATGAAAGCTTAACCAAATCAAAATGTGATTAGTGAACCTCATCAATAAAGGCTAGTGATTAATCTTTACTGCAATTATTATAATGATTATTTGCTGCATTTCAGAATAACACTTTTAACAAGACCGCAATAGGAACATCAATGTATAATATGATTTCTAGCACATCAAGGTATGTAATGGTGGTGTTATCAAACCTCATTCAGGATGCAGAAAATATCATTGTGTTTTCTGAATCTTTGATGAAGTTTTCTCCTATAATGATATTTCCTGCATCCTGGATGTGGTTTGATAATACCACCATTTAAATACCTTTAGATGCTTATCTTAATAATACTATCATTATGAAGTATTATTATTAAGTAAGATTATTGTCACCGTAGACTTTGAAAGTTCTTAGTCGAATTATCAAATTTCTTATTTACTTATCAGATTCTAGCAAACAATAGAATTGATTACTGCAACATTTGGGAACACATGCTGCAATTTCAAAATTTGAGATGCTGTAGCATACATTGAATTCTTACTAATGGCTGTCCATTATCTTGGGTAATTAGTACCTCTTAAACATTTCAGCAATGACAGTCATCAGGTAATAACGATATGAAGCTTTCTGTATCATGGAGAGAGAAACTATAGCCCCCTACAGACCTCTTAGGAAAGGGGTGAGGTCAATAGTAGACAGTCTAAGGTTAAAGTTTTGGGGGTTTGGGGAAGAAACCACAGAGACAGGTAGAGTATTCCAGACATTGACCACTCTGTTGCTGAAGACGTATTTCCTGCAATCACGTTTGGTGCGCTTAACCTTGAGTTTGTATCTATTGTGTGCTCTTGTGTTGTTATGGTGGCATTATTTTTATTTCCAGGGAATTCTTGAGCCTCACATCCTTCCCATATTGTTAAATAACGCCCCAAATAGGGGACTGTAGTCCAGTGCTTGTTTTTAAACACCTACCCAGAAAAGACACCATGGGAAACTGCATTGAAAGGGAGTAACCTGATAGGGTAGAGTTGGTGGCAGGGTCACAGTTTGCCACCAAGCTCTTTTGTTCAACAGGCAACAAAGCTTTCCATGACATCCATTTATGGAGAGTTATCTAGAACATGTCCTTTGAAAAGTCTCTATTGGCCTCAAATGGTCATTTGCTCCTCATTTATTGATATTTAATAGAACTTAATTTCCATGAGAAAGTAATAAGATCAAATCAACAAATGCAGATGTTGTCTTTTTAGGCAAATTCAAGGTTTTCTAGCTGTTGTACATCAATAGTGGTAGACTTTGACTCATGATTCATAGTAGAACCTGTGCACCATTACAGTTGTAGGCTGTGATCATAAAGTGAACAACACAGTTGTAAAGCCAACCCATTGTTCACTATGGGTTGGCTTTGCCCAAAACTAGAAATTAATGCCATAAATGCAGGCTAGTTATGGAGTGGCCAATATGCAGTTATGTGATCATAGGTATGTGTGTGACTGTCAAAACTATGGAACTGAGTCATAAATATCTTTTGGAAAGGGGATCTATTGTAACTTTGAATGGTTGCTAAGCAATCTGTCGTAAGTTGAGGACTACCTCAATGGGCAATATACAAATTATGTACACATGTACAAAAATGCAAAAAAATTGAAAATGGAATAATCCTAAATCTTAGTCACTGCGGAATAGTGTTTCACAAACTCAAGCATGACAAGAAAGAAGGGTAGAGTTGAAGGGTAGAGAAGAAGGGTAGAGGTGTAAGAAAGAACTTACTGCAGGCGTAATTCATCAACATGGGCCTTATGTATAAGAACTAAATGATCCAGAATTTCAATAGCAAAAATTAGAATTACAGCTCAGAGTTGTACTGTCATGCATATGAATCTAGAATACATATAATACATCGAGATTTAGATATGTAAGAAATTATGTTAGATGAAATCTGGCTGAAAATATGTAGCAAGACTAACTATAATCATGCTTAACTGTACTTTTGAATACTCTGCCTTTGGATAAAAATAATTATTCAATCTGAATTATGACAGAACATTACACCACAATGAAATTATAATATAAAAGAACAGAATACATCTAAACAAACTTTACTTTATCTCCGGACACCTAACTCTCTCTTATGCACAAAGATGTCCTACTGATTTCAGTGGAAGAACTAAGGAAGTGAGGGAACTAAAGAATCAAGAAATTTTTTTAATGCCCCCTCACTGAAATCAACAAAAATTCAAGTTATTAGTGTGTGGTCCCACCTCAGTACAAATCATAGAAGTAAAACTGAATTTATAAGAACTTATTGCAGAGTATGTATGAGACAATTGAAGCGCATCAGTATTTCATTGCTAAATTGGATTACTATGGATACAGGTCTAAAGCAGGGGTCTTCAAACTTGACAGCTTTAAGGCTTGTGGACTTCAACTCCCAGAATTCCTCCTCCAGTTATGTTAGCTCAGGAATTCTGGGAGTTGAAGTCCACAAGCCTTAAACTTGCCAAGTTTGAAGACTCTTGGTCTACAGGTCAATCTGTTACTACCTTCAAAGCCAAGCTATTTACCTAAACATTTACATTTTCTTTAAATTTGAAAATGTTCAAGTCAGAGACATTATGAATATTAAGAAAGGTGCTTTTATTTTCCTGCTGTTTATTGTAGGCAATACAAGACAATAAAATAAAACAGAATATTCTGTGAGTTTCTATCTCAACCAAATAACTTTATTTCCATGATATAAATATGTTGCTAGAAAGAACTGTTTCTGAAAAAATACATAAGGGTTGGCTCTTGTATTTAGAACGGAGAAATCTCAAGACCTTGTGAGTGATGCAACTCTCCCTCAAAGCCACTCCAAGCTGGAGCAAATCATGACTTCTCTCCAAATTGCCCCGGCTGTGCAAATGAAGAGTCATTATTGTACTTTCTTCATTGTAGTGCAATATAATGTATGCAGTTCCTAGTAGAGAAGAGCTTGACGTACTCTATCAAACTTTATAGAGAGAAGCCACAATGGTGCAGCAGAAGGAATGAGAAGAGCATCCATGGAAATAAGACTTAGAGAACCTGATATGGAAAGAATAGAATCTTACCAAACTGTTTTGTTCTTGCAGGGATGCATCAATACATGCACAGATCCTGTTTTAAGCAAAGGAGTCTGGAGGTTTTACAGTACCAAAGAGCAAGATTATTGTGTGAATAAACAATTCACAACAATATAGGTACAGTGCATCTGGTCATGGCATTGAAGTACTCGCTGCCACAATTAAATTCCAGTAAACTGTGGATTTTCAAGCCTTCAAATGCAAAGTCCTTTATAATTATGAATCTCTCTCCTCTTTATATTGAATTTGTCCCATGCTAAATAAGTAGGCCATTAGCAAAGTAAAAATTGAATTCTATCCTTGATCCACCCACTATGTATATCTGACCATTGAAAAAGTATCAACACCATGCATTTCGTGCAATTGGATACAAGAATTGTTAAAGATGTTCAAATATGATTTTATGCTTGTTAATAAGAAAATACACTTTGTTAACGGGAGACAAATGTTTTTTCTAAATGATATATTACGCGCTCCTTATTTCAGAAATGAATATTTAATAGTAGTTGTTATTTTTTTACCAAATAAAGAGGTAGGTGTATTTTCACACGATGAACAACAATGTAACAGACATAAGGAGAAAATTAGAACAACCTAATACAGCAATATTGTATAATTTAGATGAAGAAACTACAAATTATTAAAAAAGAGAGCAAACTTCACTCTCCATATTTTCATTGAGGGTTTTTTTCTTTTTTGCTTAAAACATTGATTAGAAATGGTAGAATTTATAAGCTCTCTTTTTCAAAAAGATGTCTGTTTCAATAAATCAATTGCATCCATAGTTAATTGCAATTTTAACCACTGGATTGACAGTAAAGAATATTTCAGTAATTTTTTTCTTACATTACCAACACCCGCAGTCTAAAAGTTTACATAAAGTTAACGAATCTCAATAATTACATAATTACAATAGGATTTTTGTTGTTAAAACAATCTTCATAAATAATGTTTTCTATCTCTTCAACAACCTAAAGGTCAATTGGTAAAGACAGGACTTTTCTTTTATTATCAGATTGAAGAATCCTCACTGCTCGCAATGTTTAAGGCTTGAATCAAGTTACTCTCCTTTGGCTTTCTTCTGCACTTTTCCATTTTCCATAACCGCACCGTTTTCTGGTTTGCTTTTACCATTTGCTATTACGCCGTTGGTGATCTTGCCATTCTTTTCTTTTTGCTTGAGCTCCTTGGGTTGCTTGGGCATCTTGTATGTCCGATAGTAGAAGTTACCAAACAGAACAATAAAAGAGGCGGCATAGAAAATGACGCCCCAATGCATCCATTTAGGAAAGGGGCAATCAATATAAATAGACAGGGCGGTGTGGCCAATAGTCACATGGAACTGAAGCTGAAAGGTAGAATAACAGAAGGTCCATTAATCCTGAATAATAAGTTTCTGTTAGGGTTTCTGTGAGTTCCCCCCCTCCCCAAATCTGTCTGAATACCATTCATACATTTCTTTATTTACTTAAAACCACGATGAGCTCTCTAATCATCTTACATTATGTTGCTGAGAATGCAGTGAAGGAAGATGCTGTTGAAACAGGGAAATGATTACCACCACTGCTTCAAAGGGGATGAGCATGTGACTCCTGTGCCTTCTTCTTGAAGTTCTTCAGGGGAAGAAAGCATCTGCAAAGTCTCCTCTATCTACAGAGGCTCTCCATCAGAGTAACTCTGAAAAACCAGGCTGACAGAGGTCACCACTCTAGATAGAGCAGGTCTTCATTGCAGACATGAATCCCCTGAATATGAATTAGAAATGAGAGGAGGAAAAGGCTAGCAAGCTGACTTGGAACCCTAAGCTTGATTATTGTTGCCCAGCGTGTGGAGTGGGGCTATTGTTTTTTTTTTATTGTTGTTTTATATTGGACTTTATTCTTGTAAGCTGCCCAGAGTCACTGAGAGCAAGTTTTCTTATGTAAATAAATAAATAATTTCTTTTCAAGGACTTGCCTGCTTTTAGGGTGCTGTCTGGGGGCCAAAATGTATACATATATACATATTTGCAAATGCATTCATATTTATTGGAGAAAAAAAAATCACCAAGATTATTTTTTTTTACTGAGAATTGAGAGCACACCAGAGTTGTGTGTGTTATATGAACTGTATGTTTATGTCTAGCAGATTTAAATAATTATTATGTATAAGTTTTCTCCCATTATTCTTAAAAACTATACTCTGTATAAGGCCACTCCTTGTTTAGTGATTATCTTGGTTAGCGATCATTCACAAATGCAATGGTAGAAAAAAAGAAATTCTAACCAATGTGCACATTTATGACAACCAAAGCCTTTGGTGTGAAACTGATAAAAGTCTGATCAGTTTCAGACAGTAGCACAGTTGCCTGGAGTGTTCTACTCAACAAATTAAGGTCACAGACCTGAACTTGTTAACTTGTGATTAGCATTTTTTAAGGGAGGTTCTGCCCTGTGGAGAAAAGCAGCTCAGGAAGAGATAACTTGTTTAAGCAATATTACCTCCCTGAAAGGTGGAGAAACCATGGGTCAGTCACAGGACTTGTAAGGCAGAGTTTTATTACAATGAAACAGCACCAACTAGTGATCTTCGAAACATCTTTTTGTATCACTACATGCTCACATAGTGACCATTTTGCTTAATGACATGATCGTTGGAATGGAGTGCAGTCACTAAATGAGGAGTGATTGTATGGGAAAAGAAAGAAGAGCTATAAGAGTTCTAGGTGAGTATCTTGTTGCCGTTCTTGCAGTTCTCTATGTGCTGATGGCAATAGTGTGCGGTAGGGGTTTCTTCCTTTATCTATGTGAATTTGCTCATGTTGAAAAAGTCTCTCTCTAAAGGTAGTGTCTATGCGCTTATTACTTTCAAAGTTTTCACACGGAAAAGACCCAATTTAAAAAATAACTGATTACTTACTAATTGCATTATGGTCAAGTATCGTTTCCACCAAAGGTATTTGTGGAACTTTGGGCCACAGGCAGCTAGTCCATAGTACATGTACATAATAACATGAATTAAAGCATTTATATGAGCTCCAAAAAATGCTGTTGGGTAGAAGAAACAAAAGAAGCACATTATGGAAATCATTAAGGTATTCAATATTCAATGATATTTAATTTTTGTCACCCAGGAGAAGAAAGAACAATGCCTCAATATCAGTTTCCCTCATCCTTTCTTCTTGTAATTTTGAAAAGTTATAATTTATCAGGAGTAGCTCAGAGTACAAGAAGAAAAATAGCAAGATATTCCACTGTTACTCATGTAAAAACCCATCTACGGAACTCTAGAGGAGGGCACTATATAGCTTGAATAGATTGGTAAAGTGGTGGGATTCAAACATTTTTACTACCGGTTCTGTGGGCGTGGCTTGGTGGGCGTGGCAGGGGAAGAATTCCCTCCCTACTCCTGGGGGAAGGTTACTGCAAAATCCCATTCCCTCCCCATCCCACTAACCTGCTTTCCAACTCCATTGTCCTATGCAGGGGAACAAAAGAAGACCCAGCCAATCACCTGGGATATGGGAGGCAGAGAATAGATGGGGGCAGGGCCAGTCAGAGGTGGTATTTGCCGGTTCTCTGAACTACTCAAAATTTCCACTACCGGTTCTCCAGAACTGGTTAGAACCTGCTGAATACCACCTCTGGATTGTTGCAATTTCATTGCAACCATAAATGGCTACAAATATCAGAAAATGGAATCATATTCTCACATCACTTGTTCTATGTGATATGTGTGCCTGAAAAACTTACTTTGCAACAACCCAGCACAACTAAGTGTAGAGATGTTTGGTGATTACATGTCCATTTCTAGTCCAATAGAGGATAAGCAATGAATAACTCATCCGTACTCCTAGTTATACAGGTAATCCTTGACTTATTACCACAGTTGAGCCCAAAATTTATGTTGCTAAGCAAAACATCTGTTAAGTGAGTTCTGTCACAAGTGAATCCCTGCAATCCTTAAATTTGTAACACAGTTGTTAAATGAACCTGGCTTCCCCATTGACTTTGCATATTAGACAGTCACAAAAGATGGAATATTACAACCATCACAAATATGAAACAGTTGCCAAGCATCCAAATTTGGATCACGTGACTGCGGGGTTGCTGCAACAGTTGTAAGTGTGAAAAACAGTCATAAGTCATTTTTTCTAGTGCTGTTGAAATTTTGAACAGTCACTAAATGAATGGTTGTAAGTTGAGAACTAATTGTACTAATGACTTAGGAAAGAGATAGTGCCCCCTAGTTTTCTTGTGCTGGACTTAACACACAAATGTAAAACTTGATCAGTGTCAGAAAACTGATATTTGTGATGGTTCATTTTTCTAGACTTGTACTGGAAAGGACTGTTGATTTGGGGTAAATGTGCATCCTTTCAAACTGTTATAGTTTACAACTATAAAGTATATAGGGATTGCAGAATCATATGAACGGTTATACTATACAATAGAAATTATGAATTTATTATTTAATAAGAGAATAAAATATCTTATTTATAGGGCAATCTATGGAAATGTATACACAGGGAAACATGCATAATGAAAGACAGAAAATGCAAACTAAGGCCAAGATTCTGATTTAAAGAAAGAGAATTGTATGACTTAAAGAACCATAAAGAAAAAATGAAAAGAATGTGTGGTAAGTATTACAGCATGATAAACTGTTTATGTACAGTTTTTATCCACAGAATAAAATGAAGCAGTTAAAACTAGTTTTCACAGTGCACAAAAATAAAATAAATACAAGTGTTCTAAGCATAAATGGAAGTCTTATTGAACTTAATTTGACTTTGTTGACTAGATCCTTTCATCACCATGCTAAATTAAGCAAGGCACAATCAAAAAATTTATCTGTCTGTGGTTGCAGAATTTTAGTTCGGCAAGTTAGATCTATCTGTTGCTTCATGCAGTTCATAGACTTAAACACAAGGGGAAGACTATGGATTTAAAATCTGAATCATGCACTTATACCAGTGTGAAAAGCGTTTCCCAAGACCATAGTAATATATTTTTCCTCCCCCTCATTTCCCAGACAAGAAAGAATATACCTTTAAACTATTAGCACCACATAATTAAGACATACTCATTTTTATAACTGTAGTATATAAAATATTTACATGCTAATACTCTATATGAATATTCATTTTTTTCAATATTCACTTTCCACTTAGTAGACAAGTTTACTCACCTTGTCCCCCTGCAACCCATTTGATGCCAATCCACCATAAAGTAAACATAGTGAAATGGTGATAGACATGAAGAAAACTGATTTGATTAAATTTCTTTCTTAGGATGAAGAATATTGTGTCCAGATACTCAATCCCTTTTGATATGTAGTACCACCATAAAGCTCCTGCTATCTGTGAAAAGAAAGAAGAATATAAAGACAAGATTAAACCAATGCACCACAGAGGATAGGATGTGCATCACTATGGAAGCTTTAATTACTCAATTTGTTCTGGGTTAAGAAGTTCCTGTACAATTTACACAGTATTTATCTCTTCTTCTTGACTGTTTGTCTCAGTAAGTATTTAAATGAAGAGTTAAACATTATTTTGTCATGTTAAGACAAGAGATGTGAAACCAGTTTGTACTTTATTCTCCCCAAAAAGTCTTTAAAAAATAATTTTAAAAAATCTCCCCCATTCTCCTGATTTTTGCCATTTGAAGTCTTATTATGGAACAAGCAGCTTTCATGACTTGGAAAGTAAGATAAAATCAGATATGAATACAACTTCATCAGGCATAGCCATCTAATACAATGCAGAAATATGATGAATACCCTTATTTTCATTTTCTTTTTTTTTAAAAAAATAAATTTTATTAGTCTTTTGTGAATTTTAAAATTAAAACAAAAAATAAATATCATGACATTAACAATTTTGTGACACCCATCTCATACATTTCTATTTTTGCGCATATTTACAATTATATACAATTTTGTGCGAATATATACATTTAATCTATAAGTTGCTTATCTTTAATTCCTTCATTTTCTATCTGTCTTAATCCAATTATACAATTTTCCCCAAATTCTATAGTATTCAGACTCCTCTTTCTCTTGTAACATTAAGATCAATTTGTCCATTTCAGTACGTGCCATTATTTTTTGAATAATCAGTTCATCCGAGGGTATACAGTTGTGCTTTCAGCATTGAGCATAAGCTATTAGCAGCCGTTAAGATGTGTAATACAATATATTTTATATTTTTCTCACATTTCTTTTTAAATATTCCTAACAGAAATAATTCTGGTTCCAATTCTACTTGTTCCTTAAGAATTTCTTTCAGCCGTTGTTTAATTTTAAGCCAATATTTCTGAGTTTCTGAACAGGACCACCACATGTGGCAGAATGTACCATCTTTCTTTCTACATTTCCAACATGCCGGATTCATGTTGGGATATATCTTCGCCAATCTCGCGGGGGGTAAATACTATCTATAAAACATCTTATAAATATTTTCTTTGTATGATGCTGCTTTTGTTAGTTTATAATTTAGGTTCCAAATACCTTCCCACTCTGTCAAATTTATATTATGTCCTATGTTTTGAGCCCAAGCTATCATACATCCCTTAACAACTTCTTCTAATTCTACCTCTAACAAATATTTATAATTTTTTGTGATTTGTTTTTCATCTGGGCCTGTTAAAATTTTATCCAATTGTTTTAGTTCCGAGTATATTTCTTATTTTCATTTTCACATTCACAAATATTCTCTCACTCTCTCTCAAAAGATAATCTGTGTGTGTGTGAAAGAGAGAGAGGGAGGGAGGGAGAGATAATGTGTGTGTATAATTTGTTTTTATATTGCTATTTTTATTATTTGTAAGTCACCAAGCATCACTCTGAACAACAAGATGAGCAGCATATAAATTACATAGTAAATAAATAAAAATAAATAATGTTATTTAAAGTTTCAAAATCAAGAAAAAAATTAATATAAATGAAAAAAGAGTAAAAATGAAAAAGGAGGAAATAAAAGAGTCAAAGTTCAAAAAACAAAGGAAAAAGGTAGAAGAACAATAGAAAAGAAAAAAGATATAAAGAAGTGGTTTCTGATCTTCTTTATAGCAGTTATAAGTATAATTGTAGAAAAAAGTTACACTATGAATCTATTCTTTCTATAGTCTGTCCTATTTAAACATTAAAACCATACATTTTTACATACATACATACAAGGTTACAGGCAGCAATAAACAGATACTGTCTTTTCTCTAATGAAATTAAATATATGTCAGTGTTCTAATCATTGTGGTTATAACCAAGATTAACCCCTTAAACATTTACTACTTTTCAGTTTCTGTCAGAGTATAAGTCAGTGCTCTCAATTTACAAATAAAGTGAGTAGGAGTGATGTTTATATGTAACACAGTATCACTATGTGAAACAATATTTTTTTTTAAAAAAATAATTCTAACACACTATGCACGTATTTAAAATTTTCAGGATCTATAAATATTTCTGAAAAATATAGAGTAGGAGTAAGAGAATATAAAGTGTTATTTAAGCAGTATCTCCGAAATGTGAGTCTTTCCACAGTGGACAATTGATGGCTCTCCATATCTTAAAAACATAAAAGTTATAGTTCACATCATCCCTACGGAACAACACCTTAACTGGTCTAGAGCACTTTCAACTCAAGTCATTTGCAACACGTGACTAGAAGAATCAATCAGGCTTGGGAATCTGCAAGGGACACAAGAAGGGACGAAACAGTAAAATGTGTGTGATAGCATGATTCAAATGTCACAACTTGTATGCTTGCATCAGATATCGGCATGCACGTAAGTAATGACAAAAATATGTACAATGCTACTGCCACCCATGTTGTCATTTTGCTATCATCAAGATGTACTATGGACACTGTTATAATTACTCTCTTATTTCAGGCTGTGTTCGTAATACTTTTCAAATATCATTTAATAGCACAATGAAGACAGAGTTAATCCTAATCATGGGATTATGAAGAGAATACTGATAAGTGGATGAATCTTTCCTAAATATTCCATGTCTCAGAAGACAATTCTATTTAATTCTGATTATTTTATTTCAGGAAAACATTATAAACAATTGGTTTCTGCTGCTCCCCACTCCTTAGAAGCACACTGCAAGATTTTGCCTTCAGTCAGACATGCATTAATACCTTGCCTAGTCATAATACCCTATTATAGTCGAGCTGCTTTGAAAAGCAATTCATGACTTTACACAAATGGCTTCTTGGGTACTTATCAGGACTACAGGTTTATGACCACAATTAGGCCTGAAATTTCCATTGTTCAGTGAGATGATCATTAAGTCAGTCATGATATTTTGATCACATGACTGTAGAGTTGCTACGATGGTCATAAGCACAAAGACTGGTTTCAAGTCACCTTTTTCAGCACTGCTTAATCTTTGAATAGCCAGTAAACAAATGGGCACAAATCAAGGACTACCTACATGCATTTAGAACAGGTTGTGTTGTACCAGAATAATGTTCAGAATAACATATTGTGTTACATTGTATTAATTGCAGTAGGATTAATGCATTTCTGGCCTAATCTAAAGCAGACTTGGGCATTTTACGGTCCCTGGGACATATCTGGCCTTTGACTATCCCTGTCTGGCTCACATGAGGTCAATTGGAAATCAGAAATCAAATGTAAATAAGTGTACCACAGGGGGGCAGGAAAAGCATCAGAGTCAGGCCCTACTCTGTGCAATCGCTGTGCACTCCTTCAATCGGCTGGTGGCTATGGGAGTGGGAGGAGAGAGAGAGAGAGAGAGAGACAACAGTCTCAATTTCTCATGTGGCCCCTTGGGAAAACAAATTGCCTAGCCCTGATCTAAAGGATTACTAGATTTTTATAAACATTTTTTTAAAATTAAGATTAGTATCAGAGACCCTTTTTGTTGCTTTGCCTATCATTCACATGTCTTATAATTCCTTTAAAGACGTTTTTTCAGTTTTAAATACTGTAGTTTTTAATTGAGATGCTGCTGCTCAACATTCTGCAGAGTTTAAAACTAATCATCTACATAATAATTTTACCATTCTCAACTTCTGAATGATTTCATAATAGTGAGCACTGGTTTCAAGTTGATTTTTTTTTAAATACTAATTTTGTTTTATTGTTGTCCTATTTACATGTTCATATATCCCTATACTAGGTTGGTTTTTATTATTGTAGTGCAATAATATTTTTATACGTCTGTAAGCTGGCTTAAACTAGGCAGCCTGGAAAGACAGCATGAAAAGCAAGTGAATAAACAAATAACGTTTTCCAGTTATTACACAGCAATCTAGAAAGTCGATGTTCTGCTACTATTTGAAAGAACAGAAGTAATCTCTCCCTGCTTTCTAAAGCAGTATTTCATAGCTAACAATATTAATACACGAATGAAGGCAAATATACGTGTCCCTTTCAGACTCATGCAGGGAACTACAGAGTGTGTGCTTTGGGCTGTTCTCTGTGTGGTATTCATATGGCGCCTGTTGTTATATGGCTTTTTAGATGTTGATTGGGGTGTTGATGGCTGTCTATGGTTGACCACCAGCTAAGGAGGTGAGGGCTTGGTAGCACAAGCAAATAACAGCCAATGATAGCCAGCCATCAACACCCCAATCAACATCTAAAAAGCCACATACAACAGACAAAACTTCCGATCAGATGGAGATTGGATCCTGCAATATTAATACATTCCTTTTTTTTTTTCAAATGTAAAGAGAGCCATCATTAAATCTTACTGTAACTCATGCTTGTTGGTGTAGATCAAAATCTTCCAGTTCAGCGCTCTGTTCCCACAATTGCCAATTCAATGCCTGAGGGAAACAGCCAAGCACCACAGCAGAACAGACTCTTTCCATTTGTATTTTTCATCAACTGGTATTAAAGGGCAGAGTGCATCTGAGACTGGAGGCAAAGATACAGCCCACACAAAAAATAGGTATTTTAGGTGCATTTGCTCACTGCAATTAATTATGTGGTTGACTGGCTTGTTGTTGATTTTTTTTTTTTTTTTTGTGGAAGGGCATAATTTCCCTTGTTAGTTTGTCATTAAGAATATACCAGCAAACCACGGAACAGTATTTTTGAAACTACAGTATATTAGCTCCCTGCAAATTCCTTTTGAGTTTTATACTGACAATTTATTTGTTGGGATCAGGGAAAGAAGGCTGGCTTAGAGTTCCATCCCCAAAGGAGTTCCGTCTGGAGGCATCTGCAATTACCGCCACACATTATGTAACAATCCCCGGTAAATTTTTTAGCAGGGTAGTTTGATGGGACATTTGGGGGACATTAACTTTAGGCCTGTTAAAACAATCACAAAATACAAGGTGGCAATAGTGGTGCTGTCTGACGAGGAGTATCACTATTT